GAAAAACTTACTTCCCCGTGTCGGCGTGGCTCTAGTGCGACAGCGATGTTGTCGATTTTCTTCGCCGCGTACTCTTCTTTCCATGAGAGAAGATGCGGCTAAGTTAGAGTTTTCTGGGATGCAATGTTTAAATACCGTCCCCATATCGATCTGGGCCGTCCATTCAGGGACAGGTGGCCCTCTCTCATTCATTAGATTGTTCTTATTTTGAAAATTAATCTGGGTCATACAATTTGACCAAATCTAGTCGTTCGATCATGCCTGAAGAGAAAGTGGATCTGGGCCATCCATGCATGCGAGAGGAGATCCGAGCTATTTGATCTGTTGGCACGCGGATAGCTCGGCAATCTGTCCAAGTTGGTAGAAAACATAAAACTCCGACGAAGATGGTTCATAACACTTTTCTCTTTAATTCAGAAAATACATGATATCTACACCCTAATTCATTAACCAAACCTTTCAGTTTATTCAGTAGACATTCAGAATCTATAATTTCAATATCATACCTTAGAGTATAAACAGTTCAATAAATAGTATCACAATTTAGACAGTAAATAGTCCACTAGATACTAATTTAGTATTTCAGTATCATAAACATTACATACGACTTCCTATTCATTCCTATTAACTTAGATCCTATAAAATAATTTCACAGCATGATGCCATTTCTGTCAGTATCAACGAAAGCAGTAAGGATCCCTTTTACCACGTGAATACATTACAGTTCAGTTCACAGTTTACAGTTTACAGTTTGCAGTACACATCATTCAATTCATAGTCTTTATCGCTTCATCATATCTGGCTAAAGCCGTATCCATGGGTAGGGTTCACCATAGTCACACGCCGAAAGGCTACACAATACCCACCCCTCGGTAATATCGGTTAAATGAGTTTTCCAAATTTTTTGTTGTCTATTTATTTATTTTGACTCGTTAATAAATTTTTTAATTTTTATTTTTTAATATATTTTGTATCTATAATACGCATACTGTAACCATTAATCACTCTATATTCTTTTACATGTTCTTAATATACTCTCAATTATATAGCAACCAGTACATATACGAATTTAGTTACCAAAATATAATAAAACAATTCATCAGTAATTTCAGTAGTAAACATAAATAAGAATACAATAATTAGTAGCAAAATCTTGTTAGAATCATATGCCAAATTACCAATTATTAAATGTTACAGTTTTACAATCTTAGAAAGATTAAACTATATTTGTAAGCATTTACGCACTTACCTAGTTTTCATTCACCGATCTACTTCGAAACTTACATGTTACAGAGTATATTAAACTCACCCTATTTATTATTCTGCTCTTTCAAATCAGGATACTCAGAATCCCGCTCTTGAAAAGTGAAAGACTTGCTAGGAGATCGTTCAAAATTTTATTTCAATTTGAATAGTACTTAATATTGATCTTTTTATTTTTAGTGAGTTTTTATTTTAGAGTTTAGACATGTCTCATGGACACTGGATATTTTGAGCTAAGCATGCAAGGGATGTACTTTTTATTATTTTAAAATTATTGCGCAAAGTATTACTATAGATTATTTTATCATGATATGTTGTGCATACGGTTAAGACTTTAAATAGGAGTTCGGGCTGCTACAGTTAGTTACTTATTAGGATTTAATAGTTAAATCATTATATTAGAGTTAATCCAAAGCAATAATAGTGAAAGAAAATATTACATTATTCTTTAATAAGTTCTTAAGAGTAATTGTATATTTTATATTATTTGGTCATTAAGGAGTGTTGTTAAATACTAATCTTGATTAGTAAATTACTTTGACTAATTTGCTACCAGTTTAGTGTTGAATCTCTAGGTACACTAATGAGTGTTCTGACTTTTGTTAAATGAATTAATTATTTTAAT